CAACATGGTGAAACCCTGTCTCTACTAAAAATACAAAAATTAGCTTCATGCCTTTAATCCCAGCTACTCGGGAGGCTGAGGCAGGAGAATCGCTTGAACCCAGGAGGTGGAGGTTGCAGTGAGCCGAGATTGCACCACTGCACTCTAGCCTGGGTGACAGAGTGAGAACCTGTGTCAAACAAACAAACAAAAAAACTTAATTTTTTTCTATGTCAGATACATATATATCATTTTTTAAAGTCAAATACTATAATACTTAGAAAACTCAAAATAGTTCTCTATTCCTATTCTGACATTTACCTCCATATTTCTTGATAAGAATTGGCAGTGTGATTATGTTACATTTTTTAGATAACTATCTATTGACCTCCCACAGTGGAAGACAAGAATGTAGCTCTCTTATCCCACCACCTGTGCACACTGCCTCACTTTCTTCATTCAAAATGGTTATATCACCCTTTTTGTTTAAATGAATATTTAGTGTTTAAATTATTCTGATTATGTAAATATGTTTAAAATTGAGCCATATAGTATGATTGCATTTCTTTTCTTGTATAGCTCTTTGTATTTTCTAGAGATAACATTTTTTCCATTTACTTAGTTTTCTATATACCTGTCAATAATTTTATCTCCAAACTTCTTGACAAAACTATAAAACTCATCCCAGCACTTTGGGATGCCGAGGCGAGCGGATCACGAGGTCAGGAGATCGAGACCACCCTGGCTAACACGGTGAAACCCCGTCTCTACTAAAAATACAAAAAATTAGCTGGGTGTGGTGGCAGGCACCTGTAGTCCCAGCTACTCGGGAGGCTGAGGCAGGAGAATGGCATGAACCCAGGAGGCAGAGCTTGCAGTGAGCCAAGATAGCGCCACTGCACTCCAGCCTGGGCAACAGAGCAAGACTGTGTCTCAAAAAAAAAAAAAAAAAAAAAGAAGAAGAAAAGAAAAAAAAACTATAAACCTCTTCATTGTGGTCAGACATACCAGGTAATTTATCCATTTCTTTTTTGAAAACAACCCTTCTGGAGTCTTCTCTCCTGGTTTGCTTTCTCTAGGGCTGTTGTCCAGCCACCAGCTTGGTACCATCATCCTGGGGATTTGCTTCATTTCTTTCTCATCTCTGTGTTGACGTGGATTTCATGTCTTCCTCCTCTTTAGTATACCCCTTTGCTTTGGTGTAATAAAACCCCAATAGCTTTCTGAGAATGCATACATGAAAGGGAAATACTTTAAAGCTTTGCATGTCTGAAAATTGCTTTTTCAAAATTCTTATACTTTACAATTCTATAGAAATGTTTTCTTCATTATTTTGAAGGCCTTGCTCCATTGTCTTCTATTTCCAGTATTGCTGTTGAGAAGTCTATTATAATTTTGGATTATTTGTAATAGACCTATATATTTTTTTACTTTGGAAACTTTCAGGATCTTTTCATTGTCCCCAAGTGTTACTTAATTTCACAATGATGGGCCTTGGTATGGTTTCCTGTTTTTTGTTTGTTTGTTTTTGTTGTTTTTATAGAGACAGGGTCTTGCTCTGTTGCCCAGGCTGGAGTGCAGTGGTGCCATCACAGCTCACCGCAGCCTCAACTTCCTGGGCTCAGGTGGTCCTCCTGCCTCAGCCTCCCAAGTTGCTGGGACTACAGGCATGTGCCACCATGCCTGGCTAATTTTTTATTTTTTGTAGAGATGAAGTCTCACTATGTTGCTGAGGCTGGTCTCAAACTCCTGGTCTTTAGCGATCCTCCCAGCCTCCCAACCCTAAAGTGCTAGGATTACAGACATGTACCACTACACCCAGCCTTCTTTTCTCATTTATTGTACTTGGTGCTTGACTAGTCCTTTCAATCTAGAAATGTGTACTCCTTTCTGGGCAGTTTTTTTCCTATCATTTCTTTGATAATGCTATCTCTACATTTTCTCTGTTTTCTCTTTCTTGCGCTTCTCTTAGATATTGGATCTCTTAGATTTAGTTTCTACTTTTCTGATCTCTTTCTTCCTATTTTCTATTTCTTTGTCTTTTTATTCCACTCTGGGAGATTTCCCTTCATTCTTAGTGAATTATTTCATTTGGTTATTAATTTCCAAGGTCTCCTTTTGATCCTGTAATTGTTCCTTGTTATAGCCTTTTATTCTTTTTGTGTGGATTCACAGCCCATCTCTAAGAATAGGAATTAAATTTTATCAAGGTTTTCTTCTTCTTCCTGCTTTGCCTTTGTTTCCTCCAGATTTCCTTTCTCTAATGTGTTTGTTTTGGTCTGTCTTTCAGGTAAGACACTTTCCTCAAATTTCTAGTGAGCCATGGCTATCCATTCATATTTAAGAGGGAGGCACTAAAAGCCAATAGCAAGTTGTATGTGCATGGATTTCTCTTAAGCTAATCAATTTCCAATAAAGAACTCTTATTCTTTTGCCTAGAGTTGTGTGGGCCTAGTGGTGGTATGCCATCGTTCTAGTAACCCAGAGAAAATAAGGGAGTTGAAGTCTCTCCAATCATAGACAGACTTTTATTTAATCCCTGTCAGCAGTATGGTACTGCATCCCTGCTATTAGCTGTGTCCAACCTGTTAGGTTCGGCCTCTCTAGAAAGGAAGCCTCTGTTCCACTCTGTGCCTCCGTGGTACGTATTGGCTTGCTTCTTCTTGATATTTGTCCTGTAGGAGTTATATTTTAGCTTTTTCCACTCTGGACGTCAATTACTTCTTATCCAGCTGTTTTCTTCTTCCAAAAGTTTGTTGATATCTCTCAACTGCTCTCCTCATCTCTCTTCATTCTTGTTGATTTATACCTCCTTTTTTGTTCATTTTCATGGGATTTCAGGAGGGAGTAAGTTAAATATGTCACTCAATTGTCCATATTAACAGGACATACAATGCAGCCTCTTTAAGGTCAAATGTATTTTGGCTTTTCCAGGATAAACAAAGGATTACTGGTAAGGCTGAGAAGTGATTCTTCCTTTCTTGTACTCTTGCCTGGAAACATGGGGATATGTGTTCCCCCATTGTATTTCTTTCTTTCTTTCTTTCTTTCTTTCTTTCTTTTTTTTTTCTTTAACCAGAGAGGGATATATTTATTTTCTCACATTAAAAAAAAAAAAAAAAAAAAGCTGAACATAAGTAGTCTGGGGCATGTACAGCAGCAAAGGCCCAGGATCCTTCCTGCTTTCTGCTTCCTTGGCCTTAGGGTGTGAATCTTGTCCTCATGCTCTCAAGACAGCTGGCTGAGCATCAGCCATCACATCCACATTCCAGGCAGGAAGAAGGCAAAGGTGAAGGGTATTGCACATTGTCAGCTGAGCTCCCTTTGCAGGGTCTTTCCTGCAAGTCTCTCCCGACACCATCCACTTGCATGCTACAACTGCCCACCCTGGGCTGTGAGGGAGGGTAGGACATGGCTTTTGTCTGCCCGCTTATCAGAATTGGGCAGAAGCACTGGGATTCTGTTAGTAGGGAGGAAGGATAATAGATGCTGGGTTAACAATTTGCAGTCCCCACCACAGCCAGGACTTAGGCAGGGGTGATCCCCACTAAAAGCCAAAGGTTTCATGCCTAGCTGCAGGGGAGAGGTGCTTGGGCTGGGGTCCTGCCTTGTCTTAACAAATATGAGGCTCTTGTTAAATATTTAACCCTGTGAGGGTGGCTTGTGACCCACGTGCACCCTAATCAGCTGCCTGGCATGCCTCAGCCCACTTCAGGGCTTCCAGTTCACCCTGGGGCGGGGGAGGCCTGGGGCATGCTGTTTTCACACACACACTCCTAGTTGATTTCTTTTTCTTCTATAATTTATAAAATTAACACTGCACTTATTGGAAGACATGAAAATCCAAAGATGTGTAGAGAAAAAGTTCACCTCCCTGTGCCCCGCCCCTGACTAACCCATGTTAACAGCCTGACCTGCTCCCAGGGGATTCTGGGATCCTGGAAGGTCCTTGAGAAACTCTGTAGTCCTAGACCAGTGCTGGGGGTGGTGGGAGGATGGGCTGGGGAGGGAAGGGGGCTCCTCAGCAGGCTGAGCCTTGGTTGCTCAACCCCGCTGACACTGACTACACATGGAGTGAGGAGTGTGCCGAGGACTCAGCCGCATGGGTGGTCCTTGTGGCCTCTGCCACTGCCCTGGGCAGTCATCACTCAGCCACGTCAACAAGCGACACTGGGGAGGCAGGCCTGGGCCACCTGAACTGTCACCTTGTCCTGGTTGACACCTCAGGCCTGGTCGTTATCTGGACTTTGGCTGCAGGGCTTCTGGGCAGAAAGAGCAGATTCAATTGGCTCGTCCTAGCCATGTGCTCCCAGAGCAGCCTGCCCAGGGATCTGGAGAGCAGCAGCCGGATCCTAACCTACTTTGCACCAACAGGCAGGAAAGGGCACGTTGAGTCTGCCACTCCAGGGTTTCAGAAGCAGGCTGCCCTGAGGCCTTCCAAATTTCACAAGGGCTCCTTCTAAGGCCTGGGCTGTGTCCAGATGTTGGACCACATGCGAAGAATGGAGGCCAAGTCCAGAAAGAGGAGGGCCCTCCCCCATGGGAATACGCACGTGGGAAGGGCGCATTTGCCCCTAGATCCTAGGCTGGATCTGGGCTCAGGAGGCTAACCCCTATGGACCAGCCCACCCATTCAGCCAATGGGCAGCCACAGTAAGGGCAGAGGGAACAGCAGAGGCAGCCCATGTGGTCACAGGTCCCGTGGGCTCCAGAGCTCTCAGCTCCAGGCACCCCTGCCTCCCCTGCTTCGAGCCTATTGGGGGCACACTTCCTGCTGTGTCTGGTCACTAACCTCTGCCCACACCACTAAAGATCCGTAGCTAAACTCTCCTTAGTTGAATCCTCTGCTAACACAAAAGGAAAAAGCCAAATCTCATCTCACAAGACTTTTATTTGAGGTGTACCATGCATGGAGCCTTGCCCCAAATGCCATGGTCATCACATTCAGGAAGAGGCAGACATCCCCACAACAGTCACATGCTGAAGCTTCTGTTTGCAGTGTCTGGTGGCAGAGTTCTCACTCAGCAGACCTGTATCATCATAGACATCACCATGTTATCAGTCCCTGGCCTGGATATTGTCCTCGGGTTACAGAAGGGGTTGCACATCACATCTATGTAGGAGTTGTGCAGCTTCCAGAACATCCTGTGGATTTCATTGTCTCGAAGAGCTGTGTTGGAGGGATTCACCACCATGACAAACTTCACCTTGGAGATGGTAGTGTAGCTCTGTCTGCATAGCTGGATAGGGAATGCACTTGTAACACAAGGACTGCTGGGAAAGCAGGTGAAGAACCTGCCAGCTGAGGGCCCTCTGTGTGTCCTCACTTTGGAGAAGTCTGGCAACCTTGAATCACAGGCAGTGCCCAGGCTGGGCTGGTCCTGCAGTGACCACACTGGGTGCATGCCTAGATACTTCGTTGGGGCAACTGGTGTTTACTGGAAAAGCAAAGGGCAGGCAGCTAAGCCTTACCCAATTCAGGCTCCAGGAACCGAGCCACTCAGACTCTGAGTTTCTATGTGCACCTGGGATGCCTCACCCTCTTTATGAATCAATGCCTGGTCCAGAAAGTTAACTGCAAAACCAGAGACTTCATGAATAAGGCGGACCTCCTCTGCAGAGGCCATATTGTTTTGTAAAATAGTGGCTACTGGCACATGTCATCATGGACAAGCTACATTACTACTCTTGGAACGTCTTTGAACTCCATGGTCTCAAGTGATTTGTCCAAAGGGACTGGTCGAGAGTTTCTAGTGACTTATGAGGCAAGACCTTGTAGTCCTCTGTGGGGTAGAGCGGGCCCAGATAGAGCTCCCTCTGGTTGACCAGGGCCTTCCCCATTGAAGAGATCTTCTCATCCACCATGTCCAGAGATGTGTACACCATGTACTGGAACCTCAGCTCGCTCTCCATGGGGGTGCTGCGGATGTAGAGAGGGTAATTCTCCTTGGTGATCACCGGGATGCATATCGCCGTCTTGAGAGGACCAGCACTGGGTGCCCCGCCCATTGTATTTCTAACTCTACAAAGGGGTGCTAGTAAGGAGCTATAGCTATAGTAAGATATCTCGTCCTTTTCCCCATGGCATCAAATATGCTTGATTAAGTTAAGAAGAAATAAATTTTTTTTTAGACGGAGTCTTGCTCTGTCACCCAGGCTGGTGTGTAGTGGTGCAATCTCTGTGCACTGCGACCTCCACCTCTTGGGTTCAAGCGATTCTCCTGCCTCAGCCTCCCGAGTAGCTGGGATTACAGGTCTGCGCCACCATGCCTGGCTAATTTTTGTATTTTTAGTAGAGACAGGGTTTCACCATGTTGGCCAGGCTGGTCTCAAACTCCTGACCTTAGGTTATCTGCCTGCCTCGGCCTCCCAAAGTGCTGGCATTACAGGTGTGAGCCACTGCACAAGGCCTGAAATAAATTCTTAATGTAATCAATACCTTTTACTCACATGTGAATCACCCTTTTTTTTCCTCTAAGAAATAAAAGCAGTTTTTAATTCAATTATTTATTTATTTATTTAGAGACAAAGTCTCACTCTCTCGCCCAGGCTGGAGTGCAGTGGCGTGATCATAGCACACTGCAGCCTTGACTTCCTGGGCTCAAGTGATCCTCCCACCTCAGCCTCCTGAGTTGCATGGTATTTTTCCTGTCACTTGTAAAGAATTGCCAGAGAAAAATAGGGGGAGGCATAGGGTCTGATTAATGAAGATTACCATGAGTTGTAGTAAACCAGGACTTAAATTTTTGAATAATTCCCCCTTGTGGAGTTGGTAAGACAATTAGGGACTAAATGTGGTATATATAATGAATAGAAACTATTTTTCACCTATCAGATTGGTAATAGTTTTTAAGTGTAGCAATATCAAATGTTGACAAGGGTGCAAGCAAAGTACTCTCGTACTTAGCTGGCAAGAGTGGAATAGCCCCTTTGGATGACAATTTGGCAGGTCTATAAAAATTGAAAATGTATACCCTCATGACTGTGTAATTCCCACTTCTCTCTACCCTAGTAAAACCTTGTACATGTGCACAGAAGGCATGTACCAGAATATTTCATTATGGCAAAAAAACAAGGCAGATCTATATATGCTGATATAAATAAATCTCCATGACTAATTAAGTAAAAAAAGGCAAGTTACAGAATAACATATATATATAAAAGTCTATGTTTAACACATTTTAATTGGTATAAACACACACGTGTGTGTGTATATACTATATATTTACTTACATCAATTACATATTCTAGTAATAGATATTAAGTGATATGTAATATATAATACATTTATTTAATATATAATCATGCACCAAATAATGACATTTCAGTCAATGACAGACTATGGATACAATGATGGTCCCATAAGATTATAATACTGTATTTTTAACTGTACCATTTTTATGTTTAGATACAAAATACTTACCATTATGTTATAATCACCCACAGTATTCAGTACAGTCGCATGATATACAGTTTTATAACCTAGGAGCAATAGGCTATACCATATAGCCTGGGTGTATAGTAGGCTATACTATATAGATTTGTATAAGTGTACACTATCATGTTCACACGATGATGAAATTGCTTAACAATGCATTTCTTAGAATGTATTCCTGTTATTAAGTGACATATGACTGTGTATGTAAATGTCTAGCTATGTAATATTTGAATATGTAAATGTCTAGAAAAAATGGAAGATATGCATCAAGCTGGTAACAGTGCTTGCTTCTGGAGGGGGACTGGAATTTTGGCAGGGGTGAGGCAGTCAAGGGAACTTGACCTTTATATGTATTATCTATTTTTTTATATAAATATATTTATATGTTACTTCTATAAGTAAAAATATAGAATATATTTTCTATGTTGTAAGTATAGATTAATATAGAATATATTTATCATATAAAGAATATATGAATATACACATACATACATACACACCCATGTTGTTAGTGATTTTAAATATGCAGGGTAGGCTACGTGGTGGCTCACGCCTGTAATGCCAATACTTTGGGAGGCCGAGGTGGGTGGATCACTTAAGTCAGGAGTTTGAGACCAGGCTGGCCAACATGGTGAAACCCTGTCTCTACTAAAAATACAAAAATTATCCAGGTGTGGTGGTGGGTGCCTGTAATCTCAGCTACTTGGGAGACTGGGGCACAAGAATCTTTTGAACCTGGGAGACAGAGGTTGCGGTAAGCCAAGATCACACCACTGCACTCCAGCCTAGGCGACAGAGCAAGACTCTGTCTCCAAAAAAAAAAAAAAAAAAAAAAAAAGCAAGGTAACTATAAAGTTTGATTTTCAGTGGTTATACTGAAGTGACTGAGTACATTGCTTGGAAAACAGCTCTAGCCTATTTAGAAAGCATTTAGAAAGCTTCTCTGATATAACCCCACCTAATCTGCCTCTGCTTCTTTTTGTCAGTCTAATACTGGTCTAGGGTCTGCATATAATCTTCTTCCCTGCCAACTACTCATCCAGTCAGTTTTCTCCAATCTTTTCTGGTTATGAGAATAGGATGGAATTTGGATTTTCCACTGTCAAACTTCAGTTTCTAGACTTCTTTTTCTAAATGCTTGCAGAACTGCAGTTGTTATTGAATAGATAAGTTTGAAAGTTCTGAATATAAGAATATTTGTGCAGCTCTTTACAGTTTACAAAGTGTCTACCTTTTTATCTTATTTGATCTTCCCAACAACCCTGTGAGGTAGGTGTTATTATTAATTATTGACATAGATAGGGAAACCTTTGGGAGTCCCTAAGAGCTCACCTAGATCGAATGATTCGCTAGGAGGACTCACAGGAGTCAGTATATAGTCATACTCACAGTTAAGATTTATGGGGCTGGGTGCTGTGGCTCATGCCTATAATCCTAGCACTTTAAGGAGGCCAAGGTGGGAGGATCGCTTGAGCCCAGGAGTTCAAGACCAGCCTGGGCAACATGGCGAAAACCCATCACTACAAAAAAATACAAAAATTAGCCAAGTTGGTGGCACACTCCTGTAGTCCTCACTACTCAGGAGACTAAGGTGGGAGGATCACTTGAGCCCAGGAGATAAAGGCTGCAGTGAACCATGATCATGCCTCTGTACTCCAGCCTAGGTGAGAGTGAGACTCTGTCTCAAAAGAAAGAAGAGAGAGAGAGACAGAGAAGGATGGGGAGAAGGGGGAGGGAGGGAAAGGAAAGGAAAGGAAGAAGGAAAGGAGGGAAAAGAAAAGAAAAAAAGAAAGAAAATAAGCAAAGAAGGGCCAGATGTGGTGGCTCACACCTGTAATCCTAGCACTTTTGGAGGCAGAGGCAGGAGGATCACTTGAGCTCAGGAGTTCAAGACCAATCTGGGCTATATATATATACACACACACACACACACACACACACTATATATATATATATATATATGATATAGTATATATACACACACATATACATTCATGCACACACACGTATATAAACTCTTTTCTGAACAGAAACCAAAACTAAAAGATGAAGTGACTTTCCTTAAAGATACTTATTAAGTGTGGCAGTCAAGATTAAAACCCAGACCCTCAGATTCCAAACATTTCCTACTACGTAATTTTAATCTCCATCAAATCAAGAATAAATGTTTTCAGCGTGCAATCGAAGTGGTAAAATTTAATGCATAGTTCCTTGAGACATGGAATGCTGAAGTGGTTTTTCTTCCTGTGCCATGTAATGTCTTCTTTCTCTTTTACCTATAACCTTTCTAGGATAACATAAAAGAGCTAGAATTAGAAGTCATCAATCTGCAAAAGGAAAAGGAAGAATTGGTTCTTGAACTTCAGACAGCAAAGAAAGATGTCAACCAAGCCAAGTAAGATTAAAGTTAATAAATGTTATTTCAAGTCCCTACTATGTGTGAGGAGCTTTGCAAGAAATAGAGAAGTAGAAGTCCCATTTACTGCCCCTAAAGATTTAAACGTAGTTATGAAGAGGAAACCTAAACACAAAAGTGGTTAAATAATTGCAATTTTAAATAGCGTCTCAAGTTGACAGTAAAAGAATGTCATAACACAGCACATGATTAGTAGCCAAATAAATTTCTTAGGCAGTAATTGTGTTAAGAGTTCAGAGGCGAGAAATATCAATTCAGGCTACCATGATCAAGGAAGGCTTTGTAAAAAGCGCTTGAGCTGGCTTTTGAAAGATTATCACACTTACTAGATAACAGCAGTTTCTTTGTCCCTGCGCTAATGGTAAATTAGCTTGTGAATGGAATTAATGTCCAGGCTAGTGATTAAAAAAATCAATCTAGCCATCTCTTACCAGTTAAGAATAAAACCAAAGCAGATAACTATAACATTCTACTCTCCTTCAGACCTCTGCTGTATGGGCTACGCTACCTTCTTTTTACTCAGTGACTCCATTTTATCTCTTGGTTGAGTCTAAAGCTCATGTTTGTAAAAGTTATGCTGAATGTTTACTTTCTATCTCAGACTTCTATAATAGTCATCAGAATTCTTCATAGCTAAAGTGAAGTGAAATGCCTTCAAAGAACCATTCTGATGCAAAAGGGGCGGCGTATATTGAGGCAGTTGCATTGCTGTGTACTAAAAGTTGTCTTACTCTTTGTATTAAGCTCCTATTATTGAGACAGGTTTGGTTGTTTGGGTGGTATTCTTTTTTCAAGATGGCTATGTGACTAGTCACCTATTTTGTATATGTCAGGATTGTAAATCTGGGAGTCTAGTATTATGTCTTTTGAAGTCAGGCTTTGCTGCTGGTAGTCCTCACTTCTACAGCATCTGTGTTTAGGTTGAGTGAGCGCCGCCGCAAACGTCTCCAGGAGCTGGAGGGTCAAATCGCTGAACTGAAGAAGAAACTGAATGAGCAGTCCAAACTTCTGAAATTAAAGGAATCCACAGAGCGTACTGTCTCCAAACTGAACCAGGAGATACGGGTAATAAATTCTAATCCTTGCATTTACTCCCATTGGAATTTACAAACATAGGTATTCCATTTAGAAATACACCAGAGGTGTTTTCAGGTGAGAAAATAGCAGGCAGGGCAATCATTTCAAGTGTGTGAATTTCCACAAATGCCACTTTTGCAGAACATTGTATTA